GGATGGATGGATGGATGGATGGATGGATGGATGGATGTTTGGTTGGATGGATGGTTGAATGGATGGATAGTTGGATGGATGGATGTGTAGACGGGCAGATGAAGGGAGGGATAGGTGGGTGGGTAGGTGGATGGACTGCTTCCCAGGTGGAATGGAAAGGGTTCCTTTTCCCTCCATATCATTTTACAGTTGGTGAAACTGAGGGTGGGTAGGTAGGGGGTGGGTAGAGGGACAGGTGGGTGGGTGGGTGGATAGGTAGGCGGGTGGATGGGTGAGCAGGCAGAGGGATGGGATGGGATAGGTGGGTGGGTAGGTGGAGGGACTGCTTCCCAGGTGGAATGGAAAGGGTTCCTTTTCCCTCCATATCATTTTACAGTTGGTGAAACTGAGGCTGGGAGGCAAGATGCTCACATGGTGGAACCTGATTTCTGGCCCAGAACAATCTAAAAGCAAACTGGCTTCAGGCCTGAAGTCTCCAGCCCAGTTCAGAGATGTGCACCGAGGCTGAGAGAGCCCCAGAGCCAAGGGGTGGTGAAGCCCACACTTGTGGGTCTGAGTGTCAGTCCCATCTTCCCTGACCCCACCCAGGCATATCAGGCACTGTGCCCACTGGCTCTGCAGCCACCTTGGGGTTGCCGTGGAGACCAGGCCATCTCCCCTCCCCCAGCTGCACCAGTTCCTCGAAGGAGGAGGGGCGGGAAGAACCCAGTACCCAGTTCCCAGCTTCCCACCAGAGCAGCTGAGAATTCACATCCGCTGCAGCCAAAAGGGGGCCTCTGCTGCTGTGCCAGAGAGATGAGGGACCCCCAGGCTCCAGGGGACAGGGGAACCAGATGCGGGGAAACCCAGTGAGATGAAGGTAAACAGGCAAAGCCACACCCAGACCCAGGTCAGGTCAGGCCCAGGGGCCTGGCAGGCAGGCAGGGAGCCCAGGACAGGCAACCCCTCCCCAGCTCCCCACCCTTCTCCATAGGGCCCTAGAGCAAGTTCAGGAACCCCTGGAAATTCCAGGCCACCTGTTGGGGCTTGAGCCCTCCCCTCACTGCCTGCCCACCCCCGGGCCAGGCCTGCAGGTCACCAAGGCTGTCAAAGGTGCCTGCCCCTTGGGGCCAGCCCTCCAGCCAGGCTGCAGGGAGACCTCCTCTATCTCCGACACCCTCGGGACAATGGCAGGGACAGAGACTCAGACAGGAGTGAAGACCCACGTGTCACACACTGGGACAGCGACCAAGCCAGCCGGGACGCAGACCTCTGGGTCAGCCCTGGAGCCCCCACTCCAGGCACTGGCTGCTCTCAGGCCCAGCCTCCTCCACCTGCCCCATTACTGTCCCTGACTCAAGAAGCACCAAGATTACTGGCCCGTTTTACAGGCCATGACCTCAAGCCCGGGTACCTAGGCCAAGTCACGCCTTATCTGGGGCTGCTCAGGGCTGGCACCGAGGCAGGCCCACCTTAGGGGGTTCACTCTTCGCTTGGAGGCACCCAGCTTCAGCCTCCTGCTTGTACAGGGGCCTCCAAGGCCAAGGAGAGCCCAGAGCTGGGGACCAGAGAGCAGACACCCTACCCCGCCTAACCCTCAGCAGCCGCCACCTCGGCACAGGTATCCCAGGAATGTCCACTTCCGCCAGCCTCCTCTGCATTCCTGCGGCCCCTCCCGCACCCGCCAGGAATTCCTTAAACAGCAGGGCGCCTGACGCAGGGGGCACCACCGCACTGCCCACAGCACCTCTGCCCTCCTGGCCCCAAGCTGTCTACTCAGCACCCCCACCCAAACTCTGTGGCCTCTGGAAGCACCCCCATCAGCACCCCCTTTCCCTGGGTCGTGGGGATGCTGAAAGCACAAACGAAAGGTGACCACTGTCATGCCTTTGTCTCCTCCCACTGAGTCCAGCCTCCCAGGCCCCAGATCTCGCTCAGGGTGGAGACCTCTCGCCTTCTGGTCCAGTGGCCCAAGGTAGGCCCGACAGCCACAGACACAGAGACAGGCGCTGTAGCAGGCAAAGAGGGCCCCTACCTGGCCCAGGTCCAGGGTGACGTTGACCTCGTTGTACTCCAGGCCGCGGGACAGGGGTGGGCTCTGCCACCAGCGCTCTGTGCCATCGATGGCGTTGCTCGCGGGGTGTGCCCTGTTGCTGTTCGCAGCCGTACAGATGTCACAGTACTGGCCCTGCAGAGGGAACAGAAGGGTCAGACAGCTGAGGAGGGCCGGGGACCCCCTTCCTCCTCCAGTCACCCTCCTGCCCTGAGACGAATCCTGGCCCCACTGAGCAGGTTCCACGCCCAGCCTCTGCACCCCCCTCACCCACTTGCTCAGCAAACGTGCGCTAAGCACCTGCAGCTCCTCCGACTCAGGGCAGGTGGCTCATGTGAGCTGCTCATGGCACGAAGGAGGAAAGAGGAAGAACAGGGACGGAGAGGGGCATCTGCCTTGGGTGGGAAAATCTCGGTGGGCCTCTCTAGGGGGGTGGCGTCTGAGCCCTACATGGTAAGCGAGAGTGTGCTCTAGGCAGAGGGGGTGCCAGTGCAACGAGCCCTGGGGGCAGAGGCGTCTCACAGTAAACCGCAAGGTGGATCAATGTGTCTAGAGCCAAGGGGGCAAAAAGGGGCCGGGGCGGGGCAAGGCATGGCCACCCCTCCCTGCTGGCCCTGCCAGGGGCTCCAGAAAGGCTTGGACAAAATGCAGCCAGGCAGGGGGCAGAAAGGGGAGGAAGGTAGAGCTGCAGACAGAAGGGCCATCAGGGTGGGGATCCAGGCGGCCAGACCCCGCCCCACCTCCAGATCCTGCCCACAGGCTTCTGGATTAGGGTCTCCAGAGAGACAGAATTAAGCTGTTGCGGCGGCCTATGGGGACCAGCCCCAGGGTGGAGGTGTGGGCAGCGGCAGGTGGGCCTGGGCCTCCTGGCTGCCGCTTCGGAGTCCTGGGAAGAGGCCAAGTCACAGCAACCGCTGAGCCTCAATGTCCCCATCTGAAGAGTAGGGACAAGGCTGCACCTGCCTGGGGCCACCGTGAGGATGAATGGCTCACACACACAGCCTGGCAGCCGCTTCTGTCCCGGACCTGCCCTGCATGGGTGAGTGGGGAACAGAGGAGGCTCCCAGCAGGGTCCTGGCCTACATCCTGGAGGGGAGGGGTAGTGCTGGGAGCCGGGCCGGGGACCAGGAGAGGGGGCAGAGCCGGGTCCTGGCTGCCATACCCCCCCCAGGGAAACCAGACCTGCTGTTTGTTCACACAAAGGCATCCTCCCAGGCTTGGGGTTGAGGCCCCTGAGTCTACAGCCCCCAGTGTGGCCACTGCTGTACCTCCTTTACTGCATGTCTGAGATCTGGAATTATCTGGGGACTTCGCTGGGGTCCCCCAGAGCTCTGCAGTGGCAGGGTCCACACCCGCCTTATTCCCACTGTGTACCCAGCTCACCACCTAAGCAGTCTCGTGGATGGGGCTAGAGCAACTGAAGACACCCAGTTAAGCACCATGAGCCCTACCCGCAGGTCGCACCGCCAAGCTTAGATGGTGACCCCCAAACTCAAGAGTTCACTGACAGCACGGCACACACAGGTCCTGCTCAGGGTGGGGCCGGGGGCGCCTGGAGAAGGTAGGTGTGGGCAGGGCCCTCTGGCTGGGGCAGCCAGGCCTTCCAGGGAAGGTTGCTTGCTGGTCAAGACCCTCCCAGACACACGAGCAGCAGAGGGAAGCGGAGTGGAAGGCTGCGGGTCAAGGGTCAGTCTCTACTCTTCCAGGAGGTCAGGGAAGAAACTGCTCAGTCCCTGCCAGGGCCAGAGTTGGTCCAGTTACTGGGAGGCAGTTCCAGTCCCCATTCGGCCACTCACTGAGCCACAGAGGACAGGGCTGGGAAAATCAGGCTCCTACCACCTCCGCTGCGGAGGGTCCCATGAGAACAGAGCTAGGAAACAGCAGAGGGGCTGATAAGGACTTCGCCCTCCAATAAGTCACCACGCTGGCCTGGCTGCCCAGTCCCCACCTTCCCAGGCTGGGCCGGCCGGGGATCCCCTGATGCCCACCTGAGGCTGCAAGGGCCACCACCTCCCCCTGCACTCTGCCTGCACCAGCTGCCCAGCAGAGTTCACCCCAACCCCCATTTGGGATGCCCAGCTAATGTGCGTCTCCTGCAGAGGGTCCCTGAGAGCCCCTGGCCTGCAGCCTTGAGACCGCACTGCCCGGCTCCAGGCCCCAAAGCCTTAGTGAGCCCTCTTGGATGGAGCTGCAGCTTCATCGCCTGGGCACCTCCTGTGACTGCCTGCCTTGCCCCACCCGCGGCTCTACTCCAGACTGGCTGGCAAGGCCTTCTCACATGCCCAATCCGCGGCCAGGGCAGTCAGCAGACCTGTGGCTCTCAGATGAAGAAGGCGTCCAAGGTCACAGGCCATCCAGCTCACGTCTACCAGCCGATCTTTCTACATATCTGGCAGCCTCAGAACAGGGGCACTCACTGCTCGGGGCTCGAGACTTTGGAAGAGAAGGGTTCGCCTCTATTGTTAGAAATGAGCTGGGTGAGGCCGGCTGGTTTCTCATCCACGTCGGCTCTGAGGCGTGGAGCACCATAGCCCATAGCTGCCACTGAAACTGTGGCCGCTTCCCAGGCTCCTCAGGCCAAGCTCACAGTCTCAGGTGATGGGGGCCGGCACGCTGTACCCATTTAAAAGACAGGGAGCTTGAGGCTGACAGAGGGAAGCCACACAGCTGAGGCAGAGGAGAGGGGCGTTGACTACAGGCTGGCCCTTTACTCACGAGACGGGGGTAATACGCCCCCACAGAGGAGACAGATCTGGGAGGGGGCCTGTGGCCCCCAGCCATGCAGCACAGGCAGGTGGTTGGGGGTGGTCTGAGGTTCAGGGGGCACCTGGAGCCTCCCCTGCCAGAACGGCAAAATCTCAGCTGGGGACGCTCAGCCAGGCCCTCTGAGGTGCAGTAGCAGGCAAGGAGGCAGCCACAGGCCCTCCCTCCTGAGACCCGGCCCCTCTGAGTCGACCAGATAAGGGGGCAGCCAGGAGGTGCCCAGATTCCCACAGCTAACCCCCGCTGGACCCTGTTCTGGCTGGGGGGCTCCAAGCAGGTGTCAGCAGCTTTCCAGGGCTCAGTTCCCCCATCTGAAGTGTGGGCTTGAGACCTCCTATCTCAGAGGACTGTGCTGGGCTTAAGGAGAGAATGGTGAGCCCAGGAGTCCGGAGAGGCTCCTCCCCCTCCCCCAGGGCCAAGGTGGTGGGGCAGGCAGAAGGGGCGGGCCCAGCCCAGGCTCCTCCATTCATCCCCACAAAGTCTTGCTCCAGGGCCCTCTGCCCCCACCCGGCAGATCTCCAGCTACTCGCCCCTGCCCCAGTCTCTCCTTCCAGGAAGGCGGAGGTACTAGGGAGGAGACAGCTCAGGTTACACGGGCCCTCTGCCTGCCCCACCACCTTGGCCCTGGGGGAGGGGGAGGAGCCTCCCCGGACTCCTGGGCTCACCATTCTCTCCTCAAGCCCAGCACAGTCCTCTGAGATGGGAGGTCAAAAGCCCACACTTCAGATGGGGGAACTGAGGCCTGGAAAGCCGCTGACACCTGCTTGGAGCCCCCCAGCCAGAACAGGGTCCAGTGGGGGTTAGCTGTGGGAATCTGGGCACCACCTAGACTCTCCCTAAGGTGGGGCTGAGGTGGGGAATGGGCCTAGAGCGGCCGGTTGGGAGCCCTTGGAGCTGACTTTGCTGCTCCTCACCCAGGACTGACCCCAGGCCCAGCCTAAGTCTAGAGGGCCAGGAGCCTTGGTTTCCAGGTTAGGTGTCCATGCATGGAGCCCGCCAACAGAATCTGCCTACAGGTTTAAGGCTTCTTGGGGAGGAGACATGCACCCCAGGGGTTCTTCAGGGCCTGAAACCACATCTCCCAGGGAGAACGAAGCCCCCCGGACCCTACCACCTGCTGGGCAGAGATTCTGCCCCTCCTGGGAGCCACGTGTTCCCAGCCCCAGTTAAAACTTCGCAGCTGGCCCTCCCCTACTTTGGAGGTCTCGCCGAGCCCTAGAGCCCTCTGAGAGGGGGCCGTGGGAGCCTCAGGTGGCTGGCCCCTCCCACCCCATCCAGAGGCCAGCAGGTTCCAGCCTGTCCCGGGTAGGGCGGAGCTGCGCCCCCTCCCCACCGGCAAGCAGCCGGCGGAGGCCAAGTCCCGCCCTCCGAGCCCTAGAGCCCTCTGAGAGGGGGCCGTGG